AATAATAATAATAATATAATAATAGTTTTTATTCCGAGAACAAGCTCATCAAATTACTGTAAACACAACAGCAAAACAGAAATTAGAAATAGGGTGCCTTTTAAATACCAGAAAAGACCCTTTTCTAGTAGTTGCTGTCCCTCAACATGTCAATAGACATGGCTGCCACAATTAAACAAATATTCATATATTTAAATATCAAATATTCAATATTCGTAAACGATAGACTGTCAAATTACAATATATCAAGTTAACAGACAGCATTTGATTCCAGTAAAACATAGTGTGGTTAAATCATTAATTGTCTGGACAATTTCTTTATTCCTGTAAGTTTACACCACAAGAACACACCATGAATGCACACAGACGCTGGTGACACAAGTGTACGCTACCACGAGCACACTGGGGGGGGGGCAAAAATGTCCAGCAAGGAGAAAGACATGGAAAGATGTGGAATACAATAGCGAAACTGTGGCTAAACAAGACCATTGCTAAAATATTAAACCCTGTGACCTCAATATCATCTCCGATATTATCCTCGAACCAGTCAGATCACCACCGTCTGTATCTCTTAAAACAGCGTTGTCACGGTGTATATTTCACAGGTGCCTAATCTGAGCAACACTGTTGAATTCCGATATGTGACACCAGTTTGTATTGGGTCACATAATTCGTAGGAATTGATGGGCAAAAACGAACCTCTACAATAGTGCAGGAAGGCGCTGTCAATCTGAGAAGACGATTCGAAACAAATCGAAACAAGGAAATGATAATACAGGAAAAATAATTACTACTGACACAAGCCACTCTTTAATTTTCCTTTGCAGCAAAATAGAACGCACTGATTGAGCGGCGCCTTTGTTCTTGACTTTCACTGTCTGTTATCAGTGAGAATGATACCGTTGGTCGAGTCTATTAGCGGCGTAGGAGGGATCGAAATACTGTATCAGTTTAGTGACACTCGATACAAACATAAACTCTCCAATCAAATGTTATATTGAATATGAATATCAATACTAAATATAGAGTACGTATGTATATGTAAATGGTAAAACTAGATGAGGAACCAGGAAGTATGTGGATTGTTACATACTTACTTGTACTTACCATCTGTCTAGTGCATCCCATTGACGTAATGGTATCAAACCACTGTTGTGTAGAGAGAACCATGAATGGTCTAATGTGAAATTGCGTAAAAATTACGCCAGTTCTATTTTGACCGAAAATCACGAAGTGATAGTCCACATTGGATTATACGCCAGTGTTGTTAGTCTGCGCATTTGTAATTTCCAAAAATATTCGTAATTGAATGATTGCAGTTTGCTCATTATAAGTTTCCATTGCAGCTCAATCCAACCAGCTAATTAACGAGTACTTGTAGTGCTGTGGCTATTCTGATACAAGGGCTCAGAAAAGGGAGTAACCCCTCCCCAGGGTAAAATTGTGATTTGTTAGTATACAGTGATAAACATTATCATCCTTCCTTTTTTCTGATGCAACACTTTTTCTCAGGTACTCTTGCCAGTGCCTGTCTGAGTTTATGTCAGACGTTTCTTGTATTGATTATTTTTACCACAAATGAAACAGTCACTTCATATGTCAAACCCAGAAGTTTCAGTTCTGCTACTTTTACGTAATGACTGTGTCTCTGATGTTGAAAAAGGTCCAGACTTGGTTGAGCTTCCAGATGGATTGTCCATCATGTACAGATAATTATTTGATGAACTGGTATATGCGGCTCTACACTATTTGATCGAAGTTGATCTTCCACTGGTGATAGACCTTCATCATCTCTACGTGCATATGCAATATTTAGTATTGTTAAAATACCTATCTTTGGCCTTCAATTTGCTGTGTGCTTCGAAGCAAATTATACATTTGTCTGTATCCAGTCGACGTTTCTTCTCTGCACAATCTATCATGCTTTCTTCAGCTAATGTAAAATTTAGTTACATGGAAAAAATTTAAAGAGGCAGGGTTAACTTTGGAAGATCATAATTACCCATTTGTTGTTTGTTAATCACCACTACCACCTGCAATCTGAAAATAAAAAGATGTTTTTTTTAATGCAGACAGAACACTGTCACTACAATCACTCACTCAGTCCTCATCTGGGTCATCTGGCGCTTAAGGCAAATCAAGGAATTTCCATCTGACTCTGCCAGCTGCTATCCTGGGTACAGTATCAAGGAACAGTCTCTTACTCCTGAGCTGTTTTTCTATTGTTCTTCTCCAGTTTTCTCTTAGTCGACCTTGGTTCCTCCTCCCTTGAGTCGTCCAATATAATAATCTTCTTTGGGTAGAAGATGATGGACTGCGGCACACATGTTCCAGCCATCTCCATGATCGGATTTGGATAGTCTCTTTAATTTATGTTGTTGCTGTTCTTTCCCGGAAGTTTTCATTTAAGATGGTGTTTGCCCAGAATATCCTAAGAATGCTATGTAGGCACTTATTTTGGAACACTTCTAATTTCTTTGGATGGATGGAAGAAGAGGTTTTCCAACACTCCGAGCCATATAGATGGAAGCTCAGGAAATTGCTCTTGAAAATCTTGATCTTTGTGTCGCGGCTAAGTCCAGTGGATCTCCAAATAGGTTTGAGCATAGCAAAGGTTTGCTTTGCTTTGCTGATTCTTGTATTAATCTCAACATCGCAGTCACGATTTGCTGTCATCTTGCTGCCCAGATAGACAAAGTCCTGTACATACTCTATTGGGTTTCCATTCACGGTGATTGGGTTAGTTGTTGCAGTGTTGTTCCTCAGGACCTTCGTCTTCCTTTCGTTGACTGTTAGGCTGATAGTACTGGTTGTCTGGCTGTGCATATTGGTACCGGTGTGAAGACTGAGTCACTACAATGCACCCGTGTAATCATACCGACATCAACAGAAGAAATGGTACGAAAGACGATAATGTCATTTGTAACACTGGAGCTATGGTCATTCAACCCATATTACTTTATTAGACAACACACAAATGAGAGCCAAATATACAATTTATAGCAGATTGGGGTTTCAGTACAACCAGGGTAAATCAGGGATTTTTTTCTGGATATCGTGACCCGATTATATATTCCAAATTCGAGATCTCTTTTTGAAAATATTACCATGCTTTTACCTAAAATTGAAGCAAAAAACGTTAAAAAAAGTTATCAAGTGAAAATTAAATCTAGCTAAATATTATCAATGCTGCTGTCAATATCTGAATAGAACAAGGTTTTACAAACAAAATAACATCAAATATATGCATATATGTTAAAGAATGTGGCAATAACACAGCTTTTTGTCGAATTCAACTTAATTCGTAAACACGCCATTACACAAATTAGTCATTGCACCTAAAGTGGATGTTAAACAACCTATTTTTTTCACAACCACCTATTTCCCACCCAGAGACCCCAATACAATGAAAAAACATGGTGAATGTGTATACCCTGGGGAGGGATTAAAAATACAAAAATACAAAATACAGTACAAAATACCAGGCTAAACCACAGACTGCACTAATGGCGTAGGGAAGTCATTTGAATCGTTCGAATGTTATTCAACCGGCAAATAGAAAATCCTAGTTTTAGTTTGAATTGTGAGATTTATAAATCATAACCTGAATTCATACTTCAATTCAAATTGAAATCGAACAATGTTTTACGTAACACGTTTTTATCAGAGAAACACATATTTTTTTCAAATTTTGCACGAACAAGGGCGCTTCTTAATCCCATAATGTCTATAGTTTAGTGCCTCTATGTTGAAGATCGACGCCACAGTTGAGAGCCAACAGCTGTCAACAACACTTTATTCCACCACCCTGTCCACTAAATAGTTGTTGGTGTCAAATGCAATCACTATGGCGACAAGTTTATAATCTGGACAATATTATACGATAACACATTTACGTTTTTTCTGTTAATTACCCATACTATTAAACATAAAGTGGTGAATTTTAATTGCGCGCGGAAACTGTACACTTTCCCGATGAAATATAAACCACATTCAACTGTTTTCATATAATTCTTATGATTATTTGAGAAGCTTGTTTTAAAGTCGTGTATTACTATCATGATCAAGATACTAGTACACGGAAGTAAATAAGATAGTTTGGTATCTGGATAGCTTATACACACTATACATTCATGGCTTTATATTTAAGTCATTATCTGTAATGTCAGACATTCGTTTCATGCATGATGGCCTGAATTGAGCCAGTATTTGTTGCTGTATCCATATCCTTTGGTGTTGGAAGATGTGTAGTGGCTGTTGTTGAAATTTTATTAAATACCCTGCCTAAAATGCTAAAAAGCATTTTCTATGATGAGTCGAAAAACAACCGTCAAGTACACGAAATACATAATCCATAAAACCAAATCACATCCACAGTGTAGTTCCATATTATACCATTAAGTAGTGCGTTGTGGTGTAATGGAAAGCGCGTCTGCTTACCACATTTGCCGAGGTCTAAGTCGGATCTCGTATTTTATATTTATATGTGCCTGTAATTTCGATTACTTCCACTCACAGGTGTTCTTCACCACCAGTGGATAGATACGTCTAGAAGGGAGATCGTAACTGTGTAAGTCGTACCGGCCATGAATACACTAGGCTATATGCGATATGTGTTTGCGATGTCATAAATTCGAAATGTATGTCATTGTAAGTTTTACCGAACTTGGGTGATATATATATATATATATATATATATATATATATATATATATATATATATATATATATATATATATATATATATATATATATATATATTCGATTTTATTTGATATTTCGAATACGTGCGAACCTTAATATCTCTTCTCGTCGATGAAACATTGGAAACCAAACGAATGGCCTTGTACTATATACCTGCATTTTATGGTTTGGCTATGTGTTTATTTGGCAATTTTACAACACTAGGGAAAGGGGTACATGCAACTTAGTGGGGATTTTATGACATTTTCAATTGTGATTAATTGGTCAGTTTTCTGAAGTAGAAAAGGCGTTACAAGATGGCGAAAACTGCATGTAACACTTCGTCACAGGCGCAACAGAGAATGAAGCCAAGTTCAGATCTACAAGACAAGCAGGATGATCAGAAGAGGGAACCATTACGGATAAGAAAACAATTATCACTTGCCGACGGAACACTTCTAATAATAGGAATGATTATTGGATATGGTATTTTTATTTCAC